AATCCCAGTACTTTGGGAGGCTGAGGTGGGTGGATCATTTGAGGTTAGGAGTTCGAGACAAGCCTGGCCAACATGGTGAAACTCCGTCTTTACTAAAAATACAAAAAAATTGGCTGGGTACAGTTGCTCACACCTGTAATCCCAGCACTTTGGGAGGCCGAGGTGGGCAGATCATGAAGTCAGGAGATCGAGATCATCCTGGCCAACATGGCGAAACCCCGTCTTTACTAAAAATACAAAAAAAATTAGCCAGACATGGTGGCAGGCAGTGCCTGTAATTCCAGCTACTTAGGTGGCTGGGGCAGGAGAATCGCTTGAACCTGGGAGGCAGAGGCTGCAGTCGGCCGAGATCATACCACTACACTCCAGGCGGGGTGACAGAGTGAGACTCTGTCTCAAAACAATAAATAAAAGTTGCTTGAACTTAATATCAAGAATTTTGAAGAAAATGAAGCAAACAAATACGAGGCATGAGATGAGGGTTAAACTGACATTAACTGAATGCCTATTATGTGCCATAAACCATAAACTTCAAGGTGGGTATTATCCTTGTTTCACAGAAACTCAGCAAAGTTAAGCCACTTGTTCAAGGTCATAAGTTAGTCAGTGAAAGAAACCAGGTTTTCCTGACTCAAAAGTCCATACCGTTTTTTGAGACAGTCTTGCTCTGTCACCCAGGCTGGATGGAGTGCAGTGGTACACTGCAGCCTCCAACTCCTGGGTTCAAGCAATTCTCCTGCCCCAGGCTCCCGAGTAGCTGGCATTACAGGCACTGCCCACGGCCATGTCCAGCTAATTTTTTTAGTATTTTTAGTAGAGACGGGGTTTCGCCATGTTGGCCAGGCTGGTCTCGAACTCCCGACCTCAAGTGAACCGCCTGCCTCTGGGCTGGGATTACAGGCTGAGCCACTGTGCCCAGCCCGAAGTCCATGCTTTCTACAGAACTTTTCCTTTACTCTTACAGATGTCTGACCCTAAATAGAAAAAAAGCCTTTTCAGGGTGGTGACCTAAGGGAGAAAAGACACTGTTGCAAAACTACCTTCTAAGGACATATGTCTTGGGGAAACATTAATGAAGCAAACTAGGGCCTAAACAAGTAATAGCTTCACTCAGTGCCCCTGCCACAACCAATATGCTACTTGAGGCGACTTCAAAGGGGTTGATTTGTCTCTTCAGGAGAGACACACATCTGCCCTGACTCTTAGGACTTGTTTCTATTAAGTACCCGGCTACACTAGGATGAAGTCACTTCTACCTTACCGGCTTCTCTTCTCAAGAGCAGCTCCCTCTCTGACAAACTGCCTAGATGCTCAGCGTCTGGAAAGGTGAGTGAGGACCTCCAACCTAGGTAGCTGTTGTGAGGATTTATGAAGCGGGCAATGGCGGGTATTGGGGAAGGAAAATAAAGTGAAGGGCCGGAGATCTAGGTGGGCCCAACTCCGAGAGGCAAGCGAGGCTGTAGGCACTGAGAGGGCAGCGGCAGCCAGCAGTGGGTGACCGTCAGGGTCTCACCTTTCACCGCCAGGCGGATGTTCAAAGCAAGTTTGGAGAAGATGCGACTCCTTTCGGCGTCCTTCGGACCCTTGATGTGCCTGACTTTGGACCACTTGTTGTGCCCGGCGGGGACAGCCGCGGTGAGGTGCATCGCCCTGCCCGAAGCGGCGCCCCAGCCCCAGGGCTCTAGCTGGGAGGGCCGGGGATCGCGCGTAGGAGCCGCCCGGACCCCGGGGCCTCGTGCCAGCAAGCATCGGGCAGCGGCCCTGCTTAGGCTGGAAGCAGCCCAGGCCGCCATCGGTCCCGACCCTGGGCTTCAAGCTGCTAGCAGCAGCGGCCAACGCCGGCCCGTCTCTTCCACCGCCGGAGCAAGCAGATTCGAACCCCGCGGCCGCCTGTGCCGGTCACCTGAGACCCAAAGGCTCGGGCCCGCCCGGGGCAGCTCAACCGCGAATGACCCTGCACCGTCCTCGCGGCAGCCGGGAGTGGGGACCTTGATGGTGTAGCACACTTCCTTTACCAGGTTCGCTCCAAAAACACGTCCCCACCGCCCGCAAAGTCTGTTCCGCGGCTGCACGGTACTCGCTCCTCTTTTGCCCTTGCGCAGACCTAATGGTCAAGCTCTCCCGGTTGCCTCGAGAGCGCCAGACTTTGTTTTCTCATCGTGATCTAGTGGAGACAAATCTGAGTTATGAAACTGACCTTGCTTCCAAATTGCCGCCTATCTGAGCAGGTCCAGAATGACAAATGTTTTGTTGTTACAAATAATATGTAGTTCAACTGCCTCTTTTAACTGGCAAAGAAACCACTGCCAGAGAAGTGAAAATTGCCCAAACATTTAATCTCTCTGAATGTCTCCCCTACCTATAAATAAGGATCTAATATTGGCTTTATCAGTGTCAGGCCTCAAAGTCCAGGACTGGCCATTATAGCCTTGGTGACCCGAATGTACACATCTGGATGGTCCCCAGGAGTCAGAAAGTCTGAAGTAACCAGATGGCAACAAAGAGAAGTGAAACAACTTGTTCCTGCCTCAACTAATTGCCCTCCCCCCTGCAACCTGCAACCATCATTCCTGCTCAGCCTTGCAAAATTTCCCCCTTGACATTGGGTTTCTCAAGACCCCCTCCCCTGTAGCTATGTAATTTGCCTCACCCTCCCCTCTACTTGCAACCACCCTTCTACTTGCAGTAACTCCCACTCTTATGATCATGCCTGTTTGTAATGAATAACCACCACCCTTGTGACCATGCATCCTGTGATGCCCTCCCTCTCCCTAAAATTGATTACCACCTTTAACTGACCATTTACCCCAACCTATATGACCAGTCTCCCCTTGCCTAAATCCTTTCTCGGACTTGGCCCACTTGCCCACACAAAGCCTGCCTGGTGGTCTATTTACACAAGTGAAGGGCCTAACAATCAACATAGGAAGGTTGAAAACACAAAATGAGCCTTTACAGCTTTAAAGTAATAAAGTTTTATGTAAATAGCCACAGTGCACTTAAGCCCCTAAATGCAAGGGATGGTTTGGGACAGACTCAAATGAGCCATAGGCCTTTGGGAGAGGGAGAACGATGAGAAGAACCTTTTGGAGCCAAACTCCCCTCTTCATTTTCTCTCTGCTATCTCCAAAGAGAAAAACAAATCCATTAGAAGATGGAGAGACACAAAGTGGCAGCTGCTGAAAAGCTTTGTAGTGACTCCATGCTGGTGAGATTAAGTGGAAAAGGCATGACATGTCAGGTAGAGAAGCAGGACAGTGTGAAGTTCAAACCTGTGCCCTCTGAGGTTAGACTGGGTGGCTTCAAACTCTGGTGTTGCATTTTCTAGCGTATCCGTGGACAAGTTCCTTTACTTCCCTGTTTCTGTTTCCTTACCTGTAGAATGGCCTTGTGAGGATTAAATGGGATAATGGAAGCAAAGCACAAAGGCATAGCGTTAGGCACATCGCTCATGTAAAGAGACTACCAGGCAGGCTTTGTGTGAGCAACATGGCTGTTTATTCACTCGTGTGTGGGCAGGCTGAGTCCAAAAAGAGAGTCAGCAGAGTGAGATGGGATAAGAGTTGGTTTTATAGGTTTGTGGTAGGCAGTGGAAAGTTACAGAAGTTACAGTTCAGGGTGGTTTTGCAAGCTGAGGGTAGGGGTGTTGCTAGGGGGGGTGTCACAGGATGCATGGTCACAAGAGTAGGGGTTATCTGTTACAAACAGGTATGGTCATAAGAGTGGGGGTTATCAGTTGCAAGCAGAAGGAATGGTGCAGTAAATATAGTTACAGGGGTGGGGGTCTTGAGAAAACCTAATGTCTAGGGGGGAAGCTTCACAAGGTTGAGCAGAAACAATGGTGGAACGTTGCAGGGGGAGAGCAATCAGTGGAGGCAGGAGCTAGTTGTTTCACTTCTCTTTGTGGCCATCCAGTTACTTCAGACTTTCTGGCTCCTGGAGACCATTAGGAGGTGTATGTGCAGGTCATCAAGGCTATAATGTCCAGGCCTGAACTTGGAGGCCTGACACATAGACTTTATATTTTTCATTACAGAAGAACCCCCATTGGGCTGGGTGTGGTGGCTCACCCCTGTAATCTTATCACTTTGGGAGGCCGAGATGGGCAGATCACTTGAGGTCAGGCATTCAAAACCAGGCTGGCCAATGTGGTGAAAACCCGTCTCTACTAAAAATGAAAAAATTAGCCGGGTGTGGTGGTGCACATAGCCCTTTATACATGTTTGTACCTTAGCACTTATCTTTTTAAAAAAATATCAAAATGTTTGTATCTGTTTCTACCATAATACTAAATTCTCTGAGAGTAGGACTCCACTTCCTGTGCACAACACAGTTCACAGTTCTCATTTTTTTTTTTTTTTTTTTTTTTTTTTTTTAGATGGACTTTCACTCTTTTTGCCCAGGCTGGAAAGCAGTGGTGCATTCTTGGCTCACTGCAACCTCTGCCTCCCAGGTTCAAGTGATTCTCCTGCCCCAGACACCCAAGTAGCTGGGATTACAGGCATGCACCACCACACCTGGCTAATTTTTTATGTTTTTAGTAGAGGTGGGGTTTCTCCATGTTAATCAGGCTAGTCTTGAACTCCTGACCTCAGATGATCCACCCACCTCAGCCTCCCAAAGTGCTGGGATTGCAGGCATGAGTCACTGTGCCAGGCTACAGTTCTCACTTTAACAAAAAATTAACAGCTTTGACATATTTCACATATCACACAGATCACCAATTCAAAGTGTACAGTGGGTCGTAGAACATTCAGAGCTGTGCACAATTGATTTTACATTTTCACCATCCCCAAAAGAAGTTCTGTACCCATTATTCCTGCAGGCCTAGACAATCACCAACTTATTTCTGTCCCTGTGGGTTTGCCTTTTCTGGACATTTAATGAGTGGACCCATACACTTTGTGGCCTTTTGTAACTGGCTTCTTTCACTTAGCATCATGTTTTCAGGATTCTTGAATGTGGTAGCATGTATCAGTATTTAATTTAATTTCTATTACCAAATAATATTCCATTGTATGAATATGCCACGTTTTATGTATCCATTCACCAGGTGATGGACATGTAGGTTATTTCCACCTTCTATGATGAATAATGAGGCTGCGAACATTCATGTACACATTGCTATGTGGACATATGTTTTCACCTCTTAGTTATATACCTAGGAGTGGAACTGCCGGGTCATGTCATAACTATGTTTAACCTTTTGAGGGATTTCCAGACTGTCTCCTAAAATTATTGCATCATTTTACATTCCCACCAGCAATATATGAGGGTTCAGTTTCTCCATATCATTGATTATTTTTTCTGCTTTGTTACCCAGGATGGAGTCCAGTGGCACAATCATAGCTGACTATAGCAAAGAACTCCTGGGCCCAAGCAATCTTCCCATCTCAGCCTTCCAAATAGCTGAGATTACAGGCATGAGCCACTGGCTAAATTTGTTATTCTTTTTGACTATAGCTATCACCATCCTTGTGGGTGAGAAGTGTTACCTCATTGTGGTTTTGATTGCATTTCCTTAATGACTACTAATGGTAAGCATCTTTTCATGTGTGTATCAGCCATTCATATATAGTATTACTTTTTGCAATTTAAAAATATAGTTTATTCAGGCCGGGCACTGTGGCTTACACCTGTAGTCCCAGCACTTTGGGAGGCTGAGGCAGACAGACCACGAGGTCAGGAGATGAAGATCATCCTGGCTAACACGGTGAAACCCCATCTCTATTAAAAATACAAAAAATTAGCCGGGCGTGGTAGCATGCACCTGTTAGTCCCAGCTACTCAGGAGGCTGAGGCAGAAGAATCGGTTGAAACTGGGAGGTGTAATTAAAGAAATAGATGTTCAGAAAAGATTTAAAAAAAGAACCTGGGAGGTGGAGGTTGCAGTGAGCTGAGATTGTGCCATTGCACTTCAGCCTGGGTAACAAAGTGAGACTCTGTCTCAAAAACAAACAACATATATATAGTTAACAAACTATATATATGAACTTTTATGAACATCATATATATAATTATAGATAAACTATATATAGTTTATTACTTTGAGAAGCAAAAATCAAATTAATGGAATTTGTAATACAAATATGTATAGAGGCTAAAACAAGGTTTGAGACTGCCCTAGTCCAATCAGCCTGAGACCAGCAGGGGCAAACCTATAGTCCCACATAGTAAGGCTTATCAACAAGGGGGACTGCACAACAGAGGAATGGTGAAGTATCTCACCGAAGAAAAAGATGGTTATAGGATTATAGGGAAGGGTAGAGGTTAGGTAAAGAATTAGAGTTAGGCTCAAAGAAACAGAGACCTATGTGAAAGGGGGATCAAGGTCAGCTGGACTACAAAGGGGACTCAGGGGACCAGTTTCCCTGGAAAGTACAAAGTCAAGATAAACGTGAAATGTTGTGTTCAGAAACCCCTGCTCTGAAGCACTATACCTGGGCTGGAAATCAAGGCTGCTTCTTGATGTCAAAGTGACTCAGCTCCCTGAAGCCATACTGTAAGGCTTCATTCTCACAAATACAATTGCAAACAGCAAACTTTGTCAGCCTATGATTTTAGAGAACAAAGTTTCTCAGTGAATTTTTTTTTTTTTTTTAAGTAGCCACTCAGGGAGTTGTTATGACACTTTATGTTGCCAAAAAAAAAAAAGTTGCAGTGTGTGCTTGGTAGAGTTATTATATCCTGTCAACTGTGCAGCTGGTTTTATCTGTCTATCTATGATGAATGGCAGGGCAGATTTTCACTTTCTCAATCTGATTTAATTGTCACCTTTCAAGATAAATTCATAGTTGACTGAACAATCTCTAGAGGCCTGGTTGTCAATGTTAGATACATTAAGTTCCTCTTCAAAAGTTGAGCTTGTTTAACTTCCTTATTCTTTGTTCTTAGGGTCAACTTCCCTGTACTGCCCTGCTGCCTCAGTTACCTGCCCTGTAAACAATCTCTCCTGCCAATCTGAATCTGTAGCCCAGGTCTATTCCTTATGTGGAAAGAGTCCCCTTCGCCCGTGGCTCCCTGCTCAGTAACCTCTGTAAACTCTGTGACCATTCTTCTTGCCTTTGCCATGCCCAGACATGCCTTGTATTTGTACTTGTGTTATAAACTACCCTCCCCACCAAAACTCCCGTTCCCAATTCTGTAACCCACACCCCTGCTCTATTTGAAATAGCCAATCAGGATCAGCTTAGATTGTGTGGTCTGACTCCAACCAATAGAGGCAAGACACAAAAGCAGGGTCTGAGTGCGTTAGGGATAAAAACCCCTTCCCTTCTTTGTTCAGTGTGCTTTTGCAGTGGCCAGAAGTGTGAGCAGCACCCTTCTGCAGAAATAAATTTGCCTTGCTGAGAAATCCTTTTAGTGCTCATTGTTTTTGCGACTCTGAGCTCTTATTTCCAACACTAGGATTGCTGAAATCACTTCAGTAACAATGAACCTTGGCAGCTAAAGACTGGCTAAAAGTATCATTCCATTAGGTTTGACCATGTATTGTCCAGTACTAACAGCCCTCAATGGCTGAGATTACATTAGTTATTACTCCAGATACTTAGCCAATTTGCTAGTATGGCTGAGACATAACTATTCACTACTTCATTTCCTCTTCCAGGATACCAGGAAGACTACATTTCTTGACTTGACCTTCCTTGGAGTTGGCAGAAGTGAGTAAGCCACTTCCAGGCCCATCCAGAAAAATTTACACCACCCCACCCCCCCTAAGCAACCTGGAGGTCACACATTTATTATTTTATCTTATTTGAGATGAAGCCTCACTCTGTCACCCAGGCTGGAGTGCAGTGGTGTGATCTCAGCTCTCTGCAACCTCCACCTCCTGGATTCAAGCTATTCTCCTGCCCCAGCCTCCCAAGTAGCTGGGATAACAGGTGTGCGCCACCATGCCTGGCTAATTTTTGTATTTTTAATAGAGACAGGGTTTCACCATGCTGGCTAGGCTCATCTTGAACTCCTGACCTCAAGCAATCTGCCCCCCTTGGCCTTCCAAAGTGCTGGGATTGGAGAGGCAAGCCACTGCACCCAGCCCAGAGGACTTTGTGTAAGCAAAAAATAAGCTTTTGTAGTGCTTAGTTTCTGAGATTTGGGGTTTTGTTGCTGCAGCATAGCCTTGCCTTATTACTGTCTCTCAGTTTTCTCCTTAAAAACAGAAAGCAGGACTCACATATTTCCTAGAAAATATACACTGTCAGACCACATAGCAGCACAGTTTCAACAGGAGCAGCAGGTACTCATAAAATTTAAATTCTCAAGGGCACACACTTCCTTTCAAAGATCCACTGCTGCTGGCTTCATGTCACCTGACACAATGGCAGGTACTTACCGAATATTGGTTCACTGAACCAGTTTGCCATTCTTCTCTTTCTTGAAAGTGGCCCAACATGAACAAAGAATAAAAATAAAAATAAATGAGGGAAATATTTCATCCAGGACACACAGTATTTGAATAGCAGTGGGACAGGAACTCCTTCCCCATCCTACCATGTTGGGGCATAGGTTTGGGAAATTAGCAGGGAATTGAACATTCCTAGTCAGCTATCAGAACTTGTCCAAACCCAAAAGATCTGGGAGTTCTTTGTCCTCCCTTCACAGCCAATAAATTACTGAATGCTGATAACTGCATCCCTCTTTGTTTGTGCTCTGTCCTCTCCATCCTTGCCACTGCTACTGCCGCTGCCACCAACACCTTAGTTCAGGATTTGATTTTCTCTCACACTGTTATAAGAAGGCAGAGGCGCTTTATCATTGCCTATCCTCCTAAGATGCAATTCTGATGATTCCTCTCTGTGTATGTTTTCCAGGCTTATGCATGAGCGTAATATCTAAAATTTCTGCAAACCACGACTTTCCCTGCTCTAGCTCCTGTATACCTCTCTAGTTATACTTCCCACTATTCACCCCACCTCAACCTGCAATCCCCTGGATATGACCATACTTTCTTGCCTCTACAGATTTGTACATGGGTGTTCTCTCTGCCTTAAATGACATTCCCTATTCCCAGATAACTCCTACTCAGCCTTCAATACCCAGCTTAGGCATCCATCTCAAGTAGTTTTCGCTGACCCTGACTGGCTCCCACCCAGGGAAAGGTGATCGCCTCCTCCTTGGAGGTGATGTTTAAACACATCCACTATTGCAAAACAATGCACGTATTTGGATTTTTTGGCTTTGTTTTTTAAAAATTAATTTGGGTGAGAGGGGATAGGGATAAAATACTACCCATTGGGTACAGTGCACACTGCTCAGGTGATGGGTGCACCAAAATCTCAGAAATCACCATTAAAAAACTTTCCATGTAACCAAAAACCACTTGTTCCCCCTAAACTATTGAAATAAATGCAAAAAAAGAAATTTTGTCTTAGATCCCAGTCTGGCTAAAAATAATTTTTTTAAATAAAAATTACTGATTGATTGAGAAAGGGTCTTGCTATGTTGCCAAGGCTGCTCTTGAACTCCTGTCCTCAAGTGATCCTTCCACCTCAGCCTCCCCAACACCTCATCTGGGATCACAGGCCACTGCACCTGGCCACAAGTATTTATGTGGATGTCTCCTCTGATGAACTGCAACCAACTTGAGGGCCATGTCCCCTGGCATAGAGGAGGTGCTCCACTGAATAACAAATGAATGACCAAACAGGATATAAAAGGTGATGAGCAGATTGCCTGGCTTTGGCTGGGGCACTGCCACTGTCTATGGAACATGACCACAGTGACAAATGGGAAGAACTGAATTCGTCACAAAAAGAAATTCAGTCAATCTATACATGTTCAAGTTTTATTACAAAGTATGATGGGCAGAAAATACGGTACTTCTTATACAGGAGGCTGAAACAGAATGAAAGGGTGAAAATTAGGTTTAATTTACTTAGGAAACAAGAAATAGAAAGTCGTAAATATAACACTCCACTTTCTGGTGCCTTTGAAGTAACCTTCAATGGAGATTCCCCATAGTTGTTTCACAGCACAGTGTTAAAATTTTATTACAAGCCCTGTGTACAATCAGTCCTGTGAAAATATTTATAAAAGAAAAATATTACAGTACAGTTCTGCAAGGGGCAGCTTCCTTTCCGCCTGACCATGGATGCCACAAAACCTATAATATAGAGGGAAAGTTTAAATATATAACAAGAATGGAAGTTCCGACATACTAGGCTAAAGGGCACAGAAATGGATGAGTTAGAGCTTAACATTTCGGAGCAAGAAATCTCCATTTTCTACATAGAAGTTTATACAATCATGCTACAAATTCACTCTGGGTAGGGTGGGGAGGGAAGGTCACTGACAAGAGGGGTCATAAAATACACAGGAACCAAAGCA